CTGTCTGTCTGTCTGTCAATCGGCTCATCACAAGAGACCATCCAGACAGAAACCCAATATTTTTTACTGTTGCCTGTTATATTTGTGTTTTTTATTTATAATATTATATTTTTATTATATATACATACATATGTATGTATATATGTATGTATATATAATATGTATATGTATATGCATCTGCATGTATGGGTATGGGTGTGTGTACACACATACACACACACACTGATGTACGTATTTGTACACACAGAGAAATATGTATGTATCTATGTGTGTGTGTGTGTATGTATATATTTATATATGTATGTATGTATGTATGTATAGGTATACATGTGTGTGTATATATATATGTGTGTGTGTGTGTGTGTGTGTATGTTTGTGTGTGTATATGTATATGTATGTATTTATGTATGAATATATGTATATATTGAGAGCAGGCATCAGAATTTTATTTTTAATGTGTGCCAGTGTGGTCACAGAAAAAAACAGTAAAGGTTATCTTATCTTAAAATTTCCTTATTTTACTTTACAATGCTATATGTTCACAAAAACCAACAAAGGTTTTAAAAGTAAGCAAACAAATCTACCAGGGCTGCATTTTAATGGCAGCATCTTCAATTCACAATTACTTGCTACAAGTTATTCTTTAAGCTTAATTGATGCTGCAACCACTGTTTTTGCTAATCAGTCACAGAAAGCAAAACAGAAACAAGCATGTAAACAAGAAGAGGTAGACTCAAGCATATCAATATCCCAAATAAAAGGATACTTTTTTCCTTTTAGTATTTTTCTGTTTACCCAAAACCTTTCTGTCACCTTTCCACTGTAAAACTACATACTCTAAGGATTTACACTGCTTTATGTTGTTTATCTATTTCAAGGAAACTGCAAAATATACCAATATCATAAATTAATTAGATATATCAGTGTCTTTATTCAGATCTCACAAAAGTGCAAAAGATTAAGATAGCTTTTCAGATATGTGTGATTAAAATCCGCAACCTTTCCAGGAGGCTAAGATTCATAGGAACTGTTAACTCCATCTATCTGCTCCCTGGGGGCCAGCTACAAAAAGCTAGGTTGCTCCATTCACCCAATGACACTGACAGTTATGGATTTCAAACTGGAGTAGTCAAGCCACACAAATCAAAAAGCCTCCAGTATCATTCAAAGCTACAACTCTTACCATATTATGTACACTGTGAGCATATGCACCCAAGACAAATTCCTGGCCAATAAAGAATTCTATTCTATATAGTTTTTTCCCCCTACAAATAGCAATTCTCCTAAGCCAGAGAGAGAGAGACAGAAGAAGGATCGACATCCTAATTCTTTATACTATAATCCAATTTGATTTCTCTGGGAGGAAATTTTAACAAGCCAGGTCAGAGCTCCTTTGAGAAAGCCACAACCACCACCACCACGATTTCACTGCCATTTTCCTTTCCTTTTCTGTGTATGTGTGTGTGTGTGTGTTTTAAAGAAAAATTGAAAAACAAGTTACTCACAATCATCTAAGTCATCCTGCAAATCCACAAAATACAAAGGGATTCCTACAAATGAAAACAAGAGTAAGAAAGAGAGAGAAGACACGCGGGGGGAGGGGGGTGTTGTGTTGCTGCTCCACAAAACCGGGGGTGGGAGAGGGAAGGGGGTGATGAGGGGGGGCAGGCATGAAAGACACAAATAAATGAAAGCCTGAAGAGCAGCACATGAAACAGGCAGCCACGGCACCGCCATCTTCAAACAGCCTCTGAACGCCGCCACCACCACCCCCCCAAGCACCACATTTTTAAAAAGCTGGCGAGAGAAAGCAGCGGGAGGGGAGGAGAGACACCCAGGTAAGCAGGTCGCCCCCTCCCTCCCTCCCTCCCTCTCACACACACCCCCCACGGCTTACCAGCCATTTTGAAAGGCGCATGGGTGGGGAGGAGACTGGGGTCCGGGAGAGGACGGCCAAAAAGGAAGAGCTGCCGGCTTATCCCGGTCGCCTTTCGGGCAGCCGCCCTACTTCCGCCGCTCGCCCGAAAAGTCAAACGTCAATGGCGGTCTCCGTGGACCGAAGCTTCCTTTCCCCGTCGCTCCTCCTCGCCCGGCTTCTCGTCCTGAGGCGCAGGGGGGGGGGCGGAGGGGGGGGTAAGGGTGTGTGTTTGTGGGGGGGGTAATCTAATGGCGTTGACTGGCCGAAGCCGAGGCGCGCCTGGAGAGCCGGAGGGCGGCCCCGCGCGCGCGCGCCAAAGATGGGCGTTTCCTGCCTCCGTCCAGGATTAGGTCACTGGGAAAGGAGGCGGGGCTCCCGTCACGTGACGCGCGACGCGGAGGCTCGTCCAAGATGGCGCGCGGCCTTTGGGATCTGAGGAGAAGGAAGAGGCGCGTTCACCTGTAGCCCCGGAGCCGAGGCAGGGCGCAAGGCTGATTTCTTTGGGCCCCGCCTTTTTTTCCTTTTCTTTTTTTCCCGGCCGCCCTCTCCGGGGACTCCGCTAGACAGCTTGCGGGGCGGCTTTTCCATATGAGTCCCGCGAAGGGGTAGTGTAGTCGGACGGCGGCGGTTCCTAAAAGCGGCGGCGGCGGCGACCCCCTTGGGTTCTCGAGCGATGGCTCTGCGGGAGCTGAAAGTTTGCCTCCTTGGGGTGAGTTGGAATGGGGCGGAAAGGACGAGCGTGGCTTCTCTTTTCTCCTTTGTTCAGGCTGGTTTAAAAAGTTCGTTTTGGATTTCGGGGGCGGCTTCCTCGGAAGAAGGACGGGGGTTTGGCTCTCCATGGAGCTCGGCTAATGGCTCTCTCTGGTCATCGTTATTACCTTAGTTGTAGGCTGAGGGGGGAATCGCACCTTAGAATTGGGGTTGTCTGCTCTCCCCCCCCCCCCCAAGTATTTAACATTTAAACATTGAACAACTTCACCTCTCAATTCTCGGCAGGTTTCAAAAAGGCCAGGTCGGTCTTTTTAGGATTATGGTCTGACAGCCCTTTGACTTCTGAAAAGTTAATAATATGGGCTTGGGCTGGGATGCACCTTTTATTTTATTTTTATTTTATTTTTTAACTTCAAAAAAAGCTCCTCCTAAATGCATTTATTGGGAGTCCAGCCTGAACTCCCTCTGTAGGATTTCTTTCCAAATATGTGCTCAAGGCTGCAACTTTTAGAGGTTTTGTTCTTTCTTGGAAAGGAAAGGTATTTCGTAATTTGTTCTGCAACCAATTCTACAATAATTATTTGCAATATTTTTTTTAAAAAGTTTAGTGTTTAAAACATATGTGCAAACTCCTGGTTGACTGATTTTGAGATGAGTGTTGAAAATTATTTTAAAGAGTATGCAGCAAAATCCTTTATATTAAAGAAAACTGATGGTCAAGACTACAGAACCTTGAGGTATGATGATAGTAATATATATAAATATATTTGATTTAAAACATATAATTTGATATGAATCATAGGTGATGACTCTGGAAGGGATGTATGAAATCTCATTGTAACCAATTGACACACACTTTATAATTTGTAATGGAAGATATTTTTGTGGTGTTTGTTGTGTTTTGTCTGTCTGTGTTTATTCAAAAACAAAAAAAATATTAAAAAAAAAAACTACAGAACCATTGCATAGAATGAATCTTATTTCTGAGAAAATAGTCCCAGGATTTCACTATAAAATATTAAGATCTAAATAATGTAATTTGAATTAAAGCCCAAATTATGAGAGAGGTTTATAGGAGAAAAATATACAATGTTCCTCAAAACCAATATTCTCTGTTTAGCAGAATTGTTCTGCATATAAAGGAATTAGGCAATATTCACTGTGCCCTATGATTGGTACAGGTAGTCCTTGACTTACAACAGTTCATTTAGTGACCGTTCGAAGTTACAACGGTGCTGGAAAAAAGTACATAGGGCTGTTTTTTACACAACATTGCAGCATCTCTGTAGTCCTGTGATCAAAATTTGATGCTTGGCAACTGGTTCATATTTATGACCATTACTATGTCCCAGGGTCATGTGACCTCCTTTTGAACCTCCCTGATAAGCAAAGTCAGTGGGGAAACCAGATTCACTTAACAACTGTGTTACTAAATTAACAGCTGCAGGGCCCACTAAACTGTAGCAAGAAAGGTCTTAAAATGGGATAAAACCTACTTAACAAATATTTCACTTAGCAACATAAATTTTGGGCTCAGTTGTGATCATAAGTCAAGGACTACCTGAATAGAACAAAGCAGAATATTTTATATATTTTGCATTTAAATGGAGAAGAATGTATGTTTTTAAGAACATGGAAACAAAGATACTTTTCCTTTTTCTTTAGACATATAGGTAGTTCTCCACTTAACCATTAGCTTAATGACAACAGTACTGAAAAAAATGACTTATGACTAGTTTTTGCAACATCCCCATGGTCTTGTGAGCAAACCTCAGGCACTTGGCAACTGCCATGTATTTATGACAGTTGCACTGTCCTGGGGTCATGTGATCATCATTTGTAACCTTCCTAACTGGCTTCTGACAAGCAAAGTCAATGGGAGAAGCCAGATTTGCTTAATGACAGTATGATTCACTTAACAGCTGCAGTAATTTGCTTAACAACTGTGGCAAAAAGTTGTAAAATGAACCGCAACTCACTTAGCTGCCTTGTTTAGCAACATACATTTTGGACTCAATTGTGGTTGTAAGTTGAGGACTAGCTATACCAGCATTATTGAAACCCGGAGTCTTCAGCTACAGCTATTCTTATCATCAGTTTAGAAAAATGTGAAATCATAGCTGCTAGTTCTTTAGTTAGTGTTGGCCTTTGTACTCATCAAGTTCTTGATGAGGATGTTGTAATGTATTTATGTTGAGATCATTATTTTGTCTTGCCTTTTCTATATATAACTCAAGGCTCCTCCTATTTACCCCATGATAACAATCATGTGATATGGATTAGATTAAAAGGGTCACCCAGCCGGTTTTAATGTCTAAGGGAAGATTGCAGCTCACAGTTTCCTGGTTTCTAGTCTATCACCTTGACTACTACACCTGAAACTTTTTTTTTTTTACTTTGGCATGAATTTTGACTGGGCTCAAGCCATTTCCTCCAAAGTCATAACATTACTGTTAATGATTGTGGGGGGGGGAGTTGTTGTATTGTTTTTCTATATATTGAGGTTATATTTTTTGTAAGCTGCCTAGAGTCACTGAAAGTGAGTGGGCGCCCATATAAATTCTCTAAATAAATCAATGAAGTCATAGATGTAACATGAGCATTGGATATTCAAAATACGATTTTGTCCAGTTTAGCTTGTCTATATTTGTACACAAAAACAAATAATTACAGAAACATCACTATACTTTCCAATACTTAAACCATACCTACTTAATGTTTTTCCTCCTCAGGTTTATGAATACATACATAGCCTTTCATTAAATAAGGAGAGGTTGAATGAATAACAACACCCTTTACTAACAGACTTGAAATACCTAAAACACCTTCTTTCCTATTGTTTAGTATGCATATTTTTAGGGTGGATCATTGTATAGGTGTTGAAAAGAGTCTCTGGTAAAGTATGTTGCTATGTTTACATGGCAAACGTTTATTTGGGAAAGCACAGAAGTACTGTGTTATCTAAAACAAAACACTAGCAATAGACAATATGAAGGCCATTTAACTACTTGCTGCTTTTGAAGTTTTGCAGCATCAATTCAATAGCCCTTGTGTTTATATGGTCCAGAAAGATGGGTTCACTGAGTAAAGTTAATTATGAGTGCATCTATTGCCCATATTTTGTTCATCTTGAGCAGAACAACTTAATGCATATTTATTCAGAAAGTTCAAAGTTGTTGTATAGTGTGGTAGCTTTGCCCTAATGTTATTTATTATTATAAATTTCATAATAAATAAATAAAATCATTACCCTATGTTACTTTAGACTGTTCATTATAGTAGATTCAAATAAGGTACAGGTGGCCCTCAACCTATGGCTACAATTGAGCTCAAAATTTATGTTGCTAAGTGAAACATTTGTTAAGTGAGTTTTGCCCCATTTTATGATCTTTCTTGCCACTGTTGTTAAATGAATCACTGCAGTTGTTAATAGCATGGTTGTTAAATCAAACTGGCTTCTTTATTGACTTCGCTTGTCAGAAGGTTGCAAAAAGTGATTTCTTTTTCCAAAAAATATCTTGATCCTGCAACCATCATAATTATGAGTCAGTTGCCAAGCATCTGAATTTTGATCAGGTGACCATGGGGATGCTGCAGTGGTAGTAAGCGTGAAAATTTGTAAGTGTGAAAAATGGTCATAAGTCACTTTTTCAGTGCTGCTGTAACTTTGAATGGTCACTAACCGAATTGTTGTAAGTTTTAGGACTACCTATAATGTCTCTTCTTCAGATGTCAAGAAGTTGTTAATTGAGATTTTAAGAATCCTTCTTTATCTCTTTGTTTCAAATGATTAAAGGCATTTTTATTATTCAATGGATAATGTTTAGATTAAGATATTTTTTTGAGAAAGAAATGGATTTATCCACATTCATAGAAGTTGGATGGAAAATTCTGAGACTAACATTGCTTCTACAAATACAGATAGGAAACTTAAAATTACCGTATTTTTTCAGAGTATAAGACGCACCTTTTTTTCCTCAAAAAAGAGGCTGAAAATCTGGGTGTATCTTATACACTGAATACAGCATTTCTCAATAAGGGTGGAGATAGCATCCATGAATGGGTTAACACAGTCCCTGTTCAGATTGGACTGAGTCTGATTATTAATTGATTATTGGCCTATATAACCCACCTTGTGAGTGTCCCCACCCAGCTTTCCGACTCAGTCCACTCTGGGATGGTCGTGTTATCCACTCCTTGCTTCATCACTTGCTGACTCCTTTTACCATCTACTGATTTCAACTTCTGTGAGTTCTGGATACTGCAACTTCATATTAGTGGTCTGAGATTGTCTGCCACTGGCCGCTGGGCATGCCCCACAGGCCCAGTCTCTGCCTCTGATAGGGACAGTCATCTTACCTTTGGGTCTTATCCAATGATTGAGGCACTTTATATTGATTAAAAAAAGCCTATTCCGCAGCTCCGGCTGCAAGGCTCTTTGCGCAAACAAACGATCGGGCCACCTGTCAGATCAGCCAAAGAGCTCTGTGTGAATCCGATCAGAGACAGCTCATAACGCAGGCACTGGCTCACCCGGTCATTTCTCGGCGCGGAGCACTGCAACGGATGCCAGAACTGTGCAGGAGGCTTGGATGGTGGCAGGGAGCCAGTTTCATGGACGTTGCAAAGCCTGGGACCATTTAAAAAGGTGCAAATAGAGGTATGGCCACTATTTTGAAGTGGGCAGAGCCTCATTGACGGGCACCATTTTACCTCGCATTCCTGCAGCCAGAGGAGAGTGACAGACAGCTGCGTCACAGAGGTTGCTGCTGAGGCCCACAGAAGCATGGCAGAGCCCGCCCAGGGACTCCTTTTGGCAGGTCAGGCCACTTGTTCCCCAATCAGGACTCCACCTGCACAGACTGCCCCAGGGGGAAAGGCCAGTGATAAGGCATCCTCCTCCTCTTCGCACAAGGGCTCTAAGCCCAAGAAAGGCTCAAAAACCGTAGCCAAAAATAAACACCAGGAGAAACGGGCATTCGCCGAAGCACCCTGAGAAAGGAGAGGCTCCACCCTCCCGCCCCAGCCCATTGCCACAGCTACAGGTGGACATCACCCAGGGACCTTTCAACCCAATGCTCCCCATCAATATATCTGGTCTTTTGGGAGATGTAGCCCCCCGGCTGCTGAGTAGGGCCCCTGAGGCCACCTTCATCCCAACTGCAGCTGGGCTTCAGCAGGAGGGACATATGGCAACCTGGCCGAGCTTGCCTCCAATGGTCACGGTACCACCCTCATTGGGTATTCAAGATTTTTTAGCGGAGGCCATCCAACAGGGGATTGCAGCCGGGCTCCAACAAAAGGCCCAGTCTCCACCAGTCACTGCACCCCGTACTGCTCCCTGGCTATCACAGGAAGGGGTTGCATACCTCTCCCCAGTGGAAACACAGCGTAGCCCATCGTCAGCATCTAAAGAAGGGGAGATAAGCCCATCTGCATCGGCCTATCCCCCCCCCCACGTTCAAGTCGCTGGTGAGTAAGGCCAAGGCAGCTTCCAACCTGGAAGCTCAGACAGAGGTCTCCACGGCCCCACCGCAGCCAGCTACAGCCAGTGCTCCGTTTAAGGAACACAAGTTGGAAGCCGACGTCATACCAGCTCCTCAACTCTTCATGGACACAGTACAGAGGCAGTGGTTGTCTCTGACATCTGGGCCCAGCCCCTCTGCGAATGATAAGCGATTCTACAATGTCACTGAGCAGCTGGATAAGACTCTTCTATAGCCAACGGTTGATCTCCCTATTGCAACCCTGCACACCAATCCCAGGAAAACATTCTTAAATCTGAGGATCGACAGGCTGACCAGGTCCTGCAGCGGGGTCACCAGGCAACCGCCTGGGCTGTGCGAGCCACATCAGCGGCCTCATTCTTCTCAAGTTCTAGCCTCTTTTGGTGTCTAAGAGACCGTCAACTGTACACATTTACAATGGCACCTGGAAGACTTATTGTGTTTGGTGTCACTCCAAACACCATTCCAGTTGAGTCTTCCGTCTCCCAGGCCCTGGAGTTTTTCCAGGATGGTCTCGAGAAAGGGTTGTCCCCAACACTATCAGAAGACAGGTTGCAGCTCTTAGCACGATACTTACTTGGGGGGAGGACAGCCTCTTTCACACCACCCTGAAAAGGGCCTCCATTCTGCGGCCTCAGGCAGTGCATCACTAACCTTCCTGGGATCTCACAAAGGTGTTGGAGGCACTTACCGGGCCTCCCTTTGAACCTCTATGGGAGGTTCCCATGCAGATACTTACCTAGAAGGTCACATTCCTGGTAGGAATAATGTCCGCTAGGAGAATATCGGAATTACCCGCCCTTTCGGTGCCAGAGGACTTGTGCCAGTTTTATCCTGACCGGGTGGTGCTGAGGCTAGACCCCAAAGGTGGGGTCCTGGTTCCATAGGGCCCAGGAGGTTATTCTTCCCAATTTCTGCCCCTCCCTGGTTCACCAGTTAGAACAACAGTGGCACACATTAGACATGCGCCGGGCACTCGAGATTTACATTCAACACATGGCAAGCTTACACCGCTCAAAGGAACTGTTTGTCTCCTTCCTAGAATCCTCATTGGGCCAAAAAGTATCAGTGGCTACCATAGGAAGATGGGTACATAAATACATTGCAGCAGCCTATGAAGCACGCCAGGAGTCAGTGCCGGAAGGTGTCTATTAGAAGTGCGGCTATCTCCGTATCCTGGGCCACTCAGGCATCTCTGGATGAAATTTGTAGGGCTGCGGTTTGGGCTTCCCCTTCTCCATTTATTAGAAATTATAAATTAGACAAATCCACATCGGCCGATGCCGCATTTGGGTGTAGGATTTTACAGATTGTTGGTTCTCAAGTCTTCAGTTCGGAACAGTATACAGCCCACCCTTGAATTAGCCAGGCTTGGTTATGTCCCATTTATGGATGCTATCTCCACCTTATTAGAAGAGAAACCCTTATTGAGAAAGGGCGTTGGTATTTACCTGATACGCCTCTTCTAATAAGGTGGAGATAGCATCCGGCCTGCCCATATAGGAGGACTGTTCCTTCTGGTTATTGTTGTCAGATTATTCCAAAGGATGGTTGGGAGAGTTTGTCTTTTTCTCGTTAGTGTGTTGCATTTGAGTACAAGTAAATTATGGTTTGATAACACGTTGAGTCTGTGTTTATTTACTTCGCCGGAAAGCTGGGTGGGGACACTCACAAGGCGGGTTATATAGGCCAATAATTAATTAATAATCAGACTCAGTCCAATCAGTGCAAGGACCGTGTTAACCCATTCATGGATGCTATCTCCACCTTATTAGAAGAGGCGGATCAGGTAAGTACCAACTCCCGAAGCCCCGCCCCTTCACCAAAATGGCCATGCATAGCCTTATGGAGGCTTTCAGAGAGCCTCCTGGGGGCTGGGGAGGGCAGAAATGAGCAAAACACGGGCCTTTTTTGCTCAATTATGCCCCCCCCCCAGCCCCTAGGAGCACACTATAAGCCTCCATAAGGCTATGCATGCAATTTTTTTGATGAAAAACGGGCCCGTTTTCACGAAAAATGGGCCGTTTTTTGCTTGTTTTTGCCCCCCGCCCCCCAGGAGTACTCTGCAAGCCCCCCCCCCAGGCTATTCATGCCTTTTTTGGGGGGGAAAACAGGCCCGTTTTTGGGAGGTTTGCAGAGTGCAAAAACTTTTTTTTTCCTTTTGGAAAACTCTTTAACTGATTGATGAGAATTACATTGATCAAGTACTGTGTCAGCAGAAACAAAGTCTTAGGTGCTGCAGATTGTCAGTGATTTCCTTCTCCAGCACATGGATAAATACACCTGGAAACATCTTTCTCTCCCTCCCTCCCTACTCTATTTCTCTATCTCTTTTATTTCTCTCTCTCTATCCCTCTACCTACCTACCCCCCTCTCTCTATCCCTACCTACCTACTCTCTTTCTCTCCCTCCCTCCCT